GCTGGGTCCTCACAATCACATGGCCGGAATAGCCAGCTTATGCAGTGCCTGCAGGGGACCTGCCTAAACTCTCAGGCAGACCCCCTCATACCTGTAAAAAAGTTTTAAAAAGTTACTAAAAGTTATTAAACAGTGTTTAAATTAAATAAAAAGTACTTAGATCATTATATATAAGTACTTTTATATACACATAAACATACCTACATCATTAATAAAAGTGTATTTTAATATTAATATATATATATAAATATTAAAATACACTTAGAATGATGTTAATTATATATATAATTATATATATATATATATATATATATATATATAAAATAAAAATAATCAATAAATAAATTGAAAATATTTTAAAAAATAAAAATAAATGTAAAAAAATTATACCAGTTTTAATTTGTTCTAACTGTATTTTGATATTAATTAAATTGAAATTAAATTCAAAATTTATTTAGAATGACGTTATAAATACATGTATATGTATCTATATCTATCCACATATAGCTATATATAAATAAAAATATACATATATATTTAAATTCTACAAATATATTTATATAATATTTTTACATAATTAAGTCATTTTATTAATTATAATCTGAGGGACCCGCCCGACATTCCAGGGAGAAAGTCCAGAGAATTTGGCTCGCAAGCCCTGTATTTAACGCTGTAACTTTCCAGGACACCATAAAACCTGTACATGGGGGTACTGTTTTACTCAGTAGACTTCGCTGAACACAAATATTAGTGTTTAAAAACAGTAAAACATATCACAATGATGATATTGTCAGTAAAAAATTTAATTTTTAGCATTTTTCACACACAAACTTTACTTTCACTGATGATATCATTGTTGTGATACGTTTTACTATTTTTAAACACTAATATTTGTGTTCAGCGAAGTCTCCCAAGTATAACAGTACCCCCCATGTACAGGTTTTATGGTGTTTTCAAAAGTTACTGAGTCAAATAGAAGGCTTGAATTTCCTTTTTTTTACATTGAAATTTACCAGATTGGTTATGTTTCCTTTGAGACCGTATGGTAGCCCAGGAATAAAAATTACCCCAATGATGGCATACCATTTGCTAAAGTAGACAACCCAAGGTATTGCAAATGGGGTATGTTCAGTCTTTTTTAGTAGCCACTTAGTCACAAACACTAGCCAAAATTAGCGTTCAAATTAGTTTTTTGCATTTTTCACACACAAACAAATATTAACACTAACTTTGGCCACTGTTTGTGACCAAGTGGCTACTAAAAAAGACTGGACATACCCCATTTGCAATACCTTGCGTTGTCTTCTTTTGCAAATGGTATGCCATGATGGGGGTAATTTTCATTCCTGGGCTACCATACAGTCTCAAAGGCAACGTAACCAATCTGGCGAATTTCAATGTGAAAAAACTGAAAAATTTAACATGCTATATTGGACCCTGTAAATTCCCAAAACACCATAAAACCTGTACATAGGGGGTACTGTTTTACACGTGAGACATCGATGAATACAAATATGTGTATTTTATTGCAGTAAAAGCAAAGAGTATTATGGCACTCACAGTTAAAATGTCACATAGAACTAAAAAAAATTTAAATTCTTATTTTTTCCCTTTTTTTTATATTTTATTCATATTAAGTTATGTTTCATACCTAAATATGTGATGCTAAATGAAAGCCCTGTTTCCCCTGAATAGAATGATATATAATAAGTATGGGTGCACATGATATGAAAGAGGCAAATTACGCCTGAACAGACATATAGCGCAAATTCAAGTTTTTGTTTACGTTTTGTTTTGATCACAACGTGTACATTTGGCTCAGTCCTTAAGGGGTTAAGGGGCTGATAGCAACAACTTGACATATATTTACAAATAATATTGAAAACGAGCCGTTACTATGATTTAATGCACAACTGTATATTTAGGCTCTTTTAAACACAGTTATCATGCATTGCAAGTTTATTTAGTTATTTATCCCTGTATTAACCCTCTAACATGGGGTAGGCAACCTTTGGCACTGCAGATGTTGTGGACTACATCTCCCACAGTGTGTTTAAAGCCATAATGCTGGCAAAGCTTTAGGGTTGATGTAGCCTGCAACACCTGGCGTGCCAAAAGGTTGTATACCCCGGTACAAACATATTAGAGCAAAATGTTTAAGACTGCTGGAGTCTCTACATTTAGTTTATTGATTATATCGTGTTTTTTGTGTAAGAGATCTCCGAGGTGTCAAAAGCTTCTGTCTGAAATCTGATGCTCTACAGAAAACTGATTTTTAGTAGCTACACACAATTGCTGTTGTATGTTTAGTATTCATAATGAGTCACTTTCTAAGCAACTGATTCAACTTTTTAATTTCCTTCCAGAATTACTGCGGCAGGAACATGTACTCTTTATGTAGACCTTGTAGAAACGGTTACCAATCAGGTATGTTATATTGCTGAGAATACCAACTAACAGTTCACCATTAGGGTGATTAGTTTATGTAATGACTTGTGCATGTGAGTTGCTTTATTTATTATTTAATTTGAAATATTTTTTTATTGTAAGATATGCTTTATTGCTAGCTATATATTTATACTGCACCAGACTGCCTATTCTGTTATTCAGAAAATGTAACAAAGATTTTCAGTAACTTATGTTATACTGTTAAGATCTTCTACATTGACACAGGAAGGAAAGGGCTAGATTTTCAGGTGGAATCTCTGGTACGGAATTCTAACTGATCTGTGTTTATTAACCAGCACCATAATAAATCACAAGTACTTAGGTCGAGTAAAGTTCTAAGAGGGGTAGCGACCATCTCAAAGGGAATAGTCTACATTCTCTATTTTGTGTGATAGGGGAAGGACCTGCCACAGCAGTGTTAAGTAGTGTGTGTAACTATCTAAATTAAAGGGACACTGTAGTCACTATAAGCATTTCATCTCTTTGAATTGGTTATAGTGCCTGGAGTGCCCTGGCACTGTCCCTCCATTTAGTGTTGCACCATGTTCGTGCAGTATGCCACAAAATAAGAGTCCCTGGCCACCCGCAGTCCGGCCCCATCTGTATGTGTAGCTAAGGCAGAGATTACACACTTCCTTGTTGTCATACCCATTCATACCGTCAGTTGGAACTCTGACAGGCTAAAAGCAGTCAGCTGATACTCTCAGCCAATCACAGCTGCCCAATTCTGCTCAGGCTAATACTTCCTTATTAGCCAAAGCAGCACAGAGGGGATGCATTGCCAGGGACTGTTGTTTAGCATTAAAACATTAAAAGGTTAAAATCTGTTTAATGCTGAAAGATATGATGATATTAGAGGACTCCAGACACTATAACCAGTTTAATGAGATGAAGCAGATACAGTGCCTACAGTGTCCCTTTAAGTATAAGTGTCAAAGACAAAAAAAAATAACATCTTTGTTATTACACATTTTTAGATAAAGACATTAATTACCAATCCATACTAAAAATGTAAAAAAAACAAACAAACTTGGAAATGTACAAACTAAACAAAAATAGGCCTCCGTCCCTTTTTCCTTTTGTTTATTGTTTTATTTCCTATCCACTAAAATGTCTGCATTCCTATTCCAACATTATAGCTGGTTTGTATGAATAGTTTTGAAGTGAGGTGCAAACAATCAAGTTGTGATAACGTTACAAAAATTTTGTACAAAATATAAAATTCTGAAAACTCAATCATGTTAGACATTTAAAAAAATTATAATTTTGCCCATTGCGGAATTAATTGTGCAATTATGTAGAGAATATATCACAATAGGTTTATGATTTCTATTATTTATTTAATAAATTGCATAAGAGTATTTCATTTTCGGTTGGATAACCTTGTGATTTTGTCATAAACAAGAAAAAAAACC